TCTCTTTCTTCCGTAGTGCTAGCCAGCGTAGCACTGCCGAGCCTATCAGGATGCTGCAGGTTTTTTCCCCCAAGGTGGAGAACCTTGCATTTTTCGGTATTAAACACCATCAGGTTCTCGTCCGCTCATTTGCTGAGCTTGTCCAGGTCAGCCTGGATCACCCGCCTGTCTTCTGGCATGGATGCTTTGCCCCAAAGTTTGGTGTTACTGGCGAACTTGGCCAGTCTGCTCCTGACTCCAATGTCCACCTCATTAATGAAGATGTTGAACAATATGGGTCTAAGGACAGAGCCTTGGGGGACCCCACTGGTCACAGGACACCATGATGAGTGACTTCCATCAATTACTACCCTCTGGGTCTGACCATGGAGCCAATTTCCCAGCCAACGGACCGTGGTGGACCCAAGGCCACAACTGGCCAGTTTCATCAAGAGGTGATCATGGGATACCAGATCGAAGGCTTTTTTGAAGTCATGGACGCTAGCTCAGTTGGAAGATGCTAGGGGTACATGTACAGTATATCCTCACTGTACAGTTGGCTTAAAGGACTGACTTTCAGGCCAAAGCATCCCAGTAAATCTCACTGAAATGCCTTGTCTAAGTTAAGGCATCTTCGCTGTGCAATCATCTATGTCATCTCCTGGGGCACATCCTAGGGAGATCTGAACTGCTTTATCATTCTTTCCTGGTGACTTAGACAAAATGTATATTCCTGCTGGGGAATGCAGGGGAATGATAGGAGGCCAGAGAGGAAGGATAGGAGCCAAACCCCAAGCTGAGTCAGGAGGTCATGGGAATCAACCAAGTTACCAGATCCAAAGAGAAAATCAGGGATGGAGCGCAAATCAAGATTCCAGAATTAGAAGCCAGTGCCAAAGTCAGAACCAACTGGGAAATAGAGACAAAGTCTGGGTATACCAGAAGCCAGAGCCAAGTCAGACACAGAGCCAGCATATATCAGGCGTTAGAACCAGAATCAGGGTGAATAAAGAGTCAGTGGCCAAGTTACCAGATCCAAGGTGAATATCCAAAATGCCAGAGTCCAGGAACAGAGAAGACTCAGGAGTACAGGATCAGAGCCATACCAAAACAGGCATTCAGAAGAACTGTTGACTGACCTGCTTCTATAGGTGGAACTAAATGGGTAGGCTGTTCTCCCCAGTGGCCAGCTGGTTCATTAGCTGGGATAGGGCTACTAGTCTGACAGTCCAAGCAGGTAGAGGCAACTAGGTAAGTAGGCCAGGCTGGCCTGCCTAATAGGTGCCCAACACTGATTATTCCACTGCATAGGAAGGCGGGAAAAAGGTCCAAGAAATCTTCAGGGCTGAGCACGGATATCCAGGCTGGCCTGAGGGCAAAGAAAAAAAGTGTACTGGCGGTGGAAGCAGGGGGCAGGGACAAAGGAGGAGTACACCTCTCTGACCCGAGCTTGTAGGGATTTGGTAAGGGAGGCTAAAGCAGCACTGGAGCTTAGATTAGCTTCTGGGATTAAGGATAACAAAAAGTCCTTCTTCAAGTATACAGGTAGCAAGAAGTAGTCTCGGGGTAACATTGGACCCCTACGGGGCAGGGCAGGGCAGGGCAGGGCAGGGCAGTTGG